CGATACTGCAACGCATGTCCTGGCAAATCCTCTAAAAAGTTGCAAATGGCGGTCAAGTACTGAAGGGCGGTACTCGAAGCTATGTTATCCAATACTCGGTCGGCATGTTGGTAACCGAATTTGGAGTTGGAGCAAGCTTCAAAGAGTTGAGATGCATTACCCAACTGTTCCAACACAAAGTGCCACTTTTTTGCCAAATATGGATTTGAAGATGGCTGGCGAACACGTTTGTGTGCTGAGCTTGAGACCTTTGCAAACTTGGAAGGGGCTGCAATGGCATGACTCGATCGTGGATGGGTCATGTGCAGAGATTTTTCAAAGACCTCGCAATCACGCGGAGGAACCTCTGGGGCCGTGGTTAACGGTGAGAGGGCTAAATCCTGGGGCGGACTACAAAGACTCCGTGGTCGAGACCAAGATCCTGCCGAATCAGGAGTGGGATCATGCCACATTGGTAGGCATCCCAAGTCATGCAATGACACTGGAGCAGGTCGAGGTTCCGGGTGATGGAACGTCGGTGCAGCGGTCGAACACTCTAAGTCCGAAACTGACTGGAAGGCCTGCTGAGGAGGGCTCTTAGAAGAGGCTGATGGCAATGAATCGGATACCTGAAACAGGGATCGAATCCGCGGTTCGACGTTGCGAATCGGTGCTGTCAAGACTTTGGATTTGGGGTGTGGCTCAACAAAGATCCAAGATTCGCTATCGGACATGCTCACTGGTTCAATTGATTCAACGACTATGCAAATGATCTAGGCACTTATGATGCTTGTGACCCGGCTCACGACGAACGCTAGGCGCCCTGCAAAAAACACATGCCCGAGTGCAGTACGGGATCTCTGTGTGTGAGGATGCTGGGCGGTCGGCCGGCTCTTGAATCTCGGATCTGTTCGGTAAGGAAATCTGGAATCTACGAGCGAGTTCAAAAACGATCAAGCAAAAAAAACGAATCAAAGCAACAAGGCTCCACTGCGTGAGATCTGAATCCATGGCTTGACATCGGCCGGGATGTTAACAAGTGAAAATGCATATGCACAATCTGAACAATTTGGCATGAAGTTGACGCCTGAAAATGTCACCACCTGAAGTGCAATATCGCGGCTTTCTCCGTTCGCAGGAGGGTACCGCTAAAGAACATGTAGAACATCTGTAAACGTGAAACGCATGACATGGCAAGAGGCTTCCCCGTTCGCAGGGGGGCACCTCTCAAAAATCTACCATTATAATGAAAGTCCAATCTTGAGCCAAAATAACGCGTGGAATGAAGTACCCCCATAGAACATTAGTGAACAAGTACACTTAACAGCTCTTGCCGCAATCTTCCGACTGAGCCACAGAGCTAGGACTAGCTGCTCGCTGCCTTAGCTAATTATGATTTTGTTTCTTCCTCCATCTGAATGATTGTCAAGTCATTGCTGTTGTTGTTTTGTTCCCTTTGCTTTCACCTCAACCCTGTCACACAAAAAAAACATGCAAGGCATGTGTCTTTTTTGGACACATTGGATTCCCGACAACCAATGGCTTGCGATATCGATTCATATTGGACAAGTCCTCCGACGACAACAGTTCAAAATAAGCACATCACATTTGGCACAGTCATATACACACACACCTCGCAGTCAGTTCAGTCAGATAGAATTGCGCTGACAAACAATCCTGTTGATCTTCTAGCACATATAAAAAAATACAACACACACCGCTCCTGACATTCAAATCCTCCTGTGTATATATCAACCGATTGCACTGCATCTTTGGTCCACTGTCCCGTGCACCAATCTAGTCCACATCCATTGTGTTTTGCCTGCGGATAGGCAGCGGAAACAACATTAAAACAAATTTCATGAAAATAAATACAACTGATTCAACTTTCATTCAGAGTGTTTGCAAACACCCCCAACCACAGAGGCAGTGACCCTTAGAAGCATATCGTCCTTAGCAACAGTCGCGTCGACGGGGTCGACCACAAGAACATAAACGGCCTGACAGACAGAAGGGTGAACAAGCGTGACATGAACTATGTGGACGATCGGGCCCGTGCACAGCTTTGGCAAACTGCAACTAATGTTAAGTTAAGTCTGGGCGCATACACTACAGAAGGTTTGTGATTCCAAAGCAGCATGCGCTTCTGCCAATATCCATCTCTTCCAGGAGCTTCGCTGCAGAACCTGTGATCAACTGCTAGTCCGCCACCATGTCTTTCCTGCGAAGCTCAAGTGAATGGCACAGCAGATGTAGTAAATTAGTTAGTGGCAAGTGGCGCGTTGCTCATTTGCTATTATCTCCTTCATTTCTCATTTCAGCATTGCGTTAACTGTCAACAACAACAACAACAAGTCCTCCATCTGAGGTTGCAGCCTCTTGATCAAGCTCTTGAGGGCAACAGCAGGAGCATCAACCCCTGAGCAATCGCTTCCATAGGTCAAGCCCGCGTCACTGCCTGAGCTCCTGTGAGCTTCCTTAACTTCGTGAAGCCTTTGGCAGAGCGCGCCTTCCCCCAGTATGTTTACAACTGATTCCAGCCATGGTTCCTGCCCTGAGCACGGTCCCAGGCATGTTTCATGGGTTTCTTCTGATGATCGACCAGTCACAACATCTGCAGGTGCAAGCAGACCTATCTCGTGTAAAGGCTCACGCCCGAACTCTGATGCTGACGACTCATCCCAACCCCATGTCTTCAAGTCTTGGTCCAAGTCAACCTGCACACCCGCATAGGTTTGAATTGAAGCAGAGAGTGCGATGTCAGACAAATGACCTGTCCGCAACACTCTAGCCCACAAGACATCAAAGTGCACCTGCTGTTCAGAAGCCTGCAAAGCGTTTGACAGCTCGCAGGGCTCACAGTGCTTTCTGTCTAGCTGCGAAAGGAAATCAACGTCATCACAAGCATTTTGGCAAATCTCACGGTGACTGTCGGTGTTGGTGCCAGCCAAGTCAGTGCTAGCCACTCCGACATCGGGCTCTGGAGCAATTCGTGGGCGGCTTGCGTCCAATGGAAATAGTGGCAACACCTGAGAACATCAGCCATTGTCAAGATTTGTTATGCACTGTGACGCAGCTCTGTTTAAGAGCCACACATCCAAAGGATCACTTGGAACAGCCTCAGCAACGTTAAGCTCGATCAAAAGGATTTTTGAAAATTGAATCTAGTCTCCAAGTCTCCGGCATCAAGTGGGTCCCAATCTTCTTCCATGTTGTTCATGAATCACGTAGAAAGGCTCAAAAATAACATTCTTCTATTGTCATTATGGTTCACTTAGCTTCTTGTTTGTGTAGTGCTTGAATGTTTTGTTTTGTCTTGTTGTTTCATATTGCGTCCCGTCTTCTTGGCCCTGCCCAAACCCAATGTTATCTGCCAGCAGGTCTTGTTGGTCACAGTTGAAGTGCAACAATGCAGTGCAACAAAAGTTCAAATTCATTCGACCGCCCTTAGTCAGTTAGCCCAGCAAGGCTCAGCAGTTTCACTCCAAGCTAAGTCGTTAAGGATGGTAAGCTAGTGCGTAGCCTTTGGCCCCGAGTAAAGTGGTCTCTCCACCCTGATGACCGGTGCCTGTTGCCGCCCTCCCGCAAGGCAGCTGTCGGCCGTGGTCACCAGTCTGTGGAAATCACAGATTTCTGATTTCTGTACAAGTTCTGGTTTCAGAACAAAACGGAACGAAACTGTCATAAGAAGAATGAAGGTGAAGAAGTCATCCGACACTCGCATTCTGCGACACCTAAACTACGAAAAAACATCTAAACACAAATTGATCATCACAAACACTTTGAGACTGAAAATGTCCATTTGGCCCTCAACCTCATGACAAGCCAAACCCTTGTGTCACGCGCCGCTATTTCTTTGCAAGAGCTTCGATCTTGGACCTGATACATTTAGGAATCTGGTCCATTGACAAATCTCTGGGTTTCAGCCGCGTCTCCTCGAACGATGCAGCTTTGGCAGGATCTGCCTGTTTGAGAATGCCACAAGCAGACAGCGATGCCAAGAACACCTTCAAGAAAGATGACAACTGGTTGACCTCACCACAGAGCTCTTGTCCAAAGCGATCAAGTGGTTTGGACGCATCAATTCTCTCGAAAAATGGTCCAGCACGACCGCTCACTGAAGATGCGTTAGCCATTTGGCTCTGAAAAAACTCCACTGACTGATCATTCATCAACTCCTCCAAGGTCAATGCTGGCAATAGCGACCGCATAGATTTGATCTCTGCACAGATCTCTGCCTTCATATTCTTTTCCTCGGCTGTGAGCTGCACGTCTAAGATGCTGTCAATCTCTTTGACGGATGTCTCAAGCACCTTCATCACAGAAGACGGAGCTTCTCCAGCCGGACAAAGTGCCTGGAGTTTCATGAGTGCACTCTTCATGTCGGCATGCGCTTTCTCCAGGCCTGGGTCTGATGCCATCCACCCGTCCTTTGGTTTGTCATTGGAGGTGCCATAGAAATCAACGACCATGTTGTGCAGCTTCCACATCACATCCTTCGATAGCTTCCGCAATTGTCCAAACAGATTGTCGAAGCCGTCCTGTGCTTCTTTGGTGAATGCTGACCATGCTGCGCAAAGCTTGAAGTTTGGCAGATAATCACAACACAAGTGTTGGAATCGCAGCGCTCGCTCAGCTTGAGGTGTATCTGGCTGGCCATTGTCAGTCCATATGCTCACATCTTGTGTTGATAGAGCCTGCGTGAACTGTTCTGAATGATGTTGGAAAGCGAAAGCCTCACAAAGGTAGCCCACATTCTTGAGCACGTCCTTGGTGGTCAGTTTCAGCGGAGCACACAGCTCTAACATCTTCTCCGTCTTGCCAAAAGCATCAGCAAAGGCCATCACATCATCCACAAGCTCAGCCCCAATCACATCCCATGTGCGCAGGAAACTGCCCACTGTCTGTGTGAAGCGGTCCACGATGAACTCCTGACTCAAGGCAATCATCTATTTATTTTTGTAATACAATCACCAACAACAATCATCAGTCACCAAATAACCAAACAAATAAAATAACAATCAGTCAATCACACAGTCACAGTCCTCGAAATCATCGCGAACAGATAGACCAGTTACGCGGATCTCCTTGTGCTGGGAGCTCTCACCCATAGGAAGAGCAGCGATGCCCTCAACAAGCTTCTGGAGAGTTTTGACCATATCAACCAAGCGCATCAAGGTGAACGGCCCCACCTGTGTTCGGCCTGTCAGGATTGCATTGACTTCAGACACATCAGTCTGCAAAGTCTTGGCACGCTGTGTTGCAGCCTGATCTTGCTGAGATCGGCTCAGTTCAGCCTGAAGAAACAAAGCAAACTTCTTGTAGCCTGGTGTCATGAGAAATCGAGAGAGTAACTTTGCGTCCTTTGCCACATTTGAAATCTTGAGTTGATGCAGCTGATCTGAAAGCGTTGCTGCATCTTCTGGACTCATACCACCGGTGATTGACTTCACCTTGCCTGCGAGATTTCCCAAGATCACGAGATATTTTCCAACATGTTCATCAAGCACTGCCTTGGCCATGACATCTTGCTGGGGAAGAAAGCATAGCAAAAGGGCAGCGTAGTCATGAGCTTCACATTGATAGTCATCCTTTGGGCTAGTGGTGAAGATGTGTGAGAGTGCGGATGCCAGAAACTTTTGTTGCAGCTGCTGCACATTCTCGGAAAATTCTGACTTTGTGAACCAGAAGAAATCACTGAGCTTGCCATAAGCATTGTTCTCCTCTGGCGAGCCAAATTCCAGATTATCTGGGAAGAGAAAGATAGCCTGTGCTGCTTGTTTAACCAACTCTGCTGCTGCAGCTTTATCCGCATCCTCCAAGCCCATAGTCAAATCAGTTTTCATCTTGTTGAGAACCGATGTCACCGATGAACCTAAGCAAGGTGACAACAAAACAACAGCTGCAATATCATTACTATATCATAAACATATTATATAATCACTATATCAATATCAACATAACACCACCTTATAACTATGACAAAAAACAAAAACAAAAAACTACACTTGGCCATGCACGCAACTCACCCATGATGTCACCCACACCTCTGGCAACGCCACAGTAGAGCCCAGACAAGTGCCGGAACGGCCACTGGAAGTCAATGAATCCAACTTCTGCCATGACGTTGTAAGGCTATCCATGCCTTTGGAGATGTCCTCAGACGAAATAGAGCCCATCCGTGAGCTGACGATCCCACTCCGGAACTTCTGGACTTCTAGTAGAAACTCACTCAATGCCTTGAATCTGTCTGAGAGCAACTCAGGTTTGCTCTTGGTACCAGCCTTCTTGCATTTGCCATTGGCAATCTTCTTGAGCTGTGTGGCAGCACTCTTGATCTCTTGGTCTTTGATTTTGCCAGATTCAAGCAAGTCTTTGATCAACACTAGCTGCGCAGACACAGCTTTGACTGCTGCTGACCACTTGGCCTTGTCTGCAGTGGAAGGCATGTTGCAAATGTAGCCACCACTTTCTGTAGTAAGGTCCAAGGCAGCCACAGAAGTGCATGAGTCCCAACCAGATTTCAAGAAGATCAGCCAGTCAGACTCAGATGGTTTCTCAGTTGGAGCCGTAGGCGCAGGTTTGGCCGCAGTGGATAAAACAACACTCCCCTGCCTGATTGGGATGCAGAGGATGAAACTCCATGACCAGCAGCCACTGCTTCATCAGCCTGGTTTGGTTGCGCAATCCGCCTCTTTGTTGATGATGGAAAATCATTGCGTTTGCCTGCAACACGCTTCGCACTGTGAACGGCATCGTGGGCGCGCAAAGCATCGTGAGTCAAACTATCACTTGAATTGGGTTGACTGTCTTCGCGTTGCTGCATGGCCACCATCAACTCGATGCACTCAGACTCATCAATCTCTTCGCCCTTGGCCTCATCATCGTTGTCTTCTTTCTTGGAGCTTGGGCGAAGTGAATTGATAGCTTCCTGACAACAACTGATTGATAGTTGGCAATGACAAACCAAGTCGTACACATATGACAAAAGTACTAGTTATAATGAAAAAATTAGAAACACATGCAAAGAATAGAACTCATAGAAGCTTAGAACATGATACTCACAAACATCAGCTTGGATAATCAGTCCTCTTCATGATCATTCACTTCAATGCGAGGCTGTGTGCATTGTTCAAAGGTTTCTGCATCCGGCAACACTTTGGGCGCTGACTTTGCAAAGCTCTCCATGTGTTGGTCAAAAGATTCGTCTACTTGGCCAGAGCGGAGAGCATTGAGATCACAATCCAGAACCTCCTTTTTCTGAAGCTTCTGTGTCGTTGCCAATTCGCCCTCAAAGTACCCTGCCTTTCTCTTGGGAATGAAGGCTGCTTTCTTCATCTTCCCGGTCTCCGGATCGATGATATCGCAAACCTTATGTTCCCTCTCAGCTGGATCTCCAAAGTCTTGCTTGTACACATTCAAGTCCACAAAGACACCTGGAATGGATACGTTGCATTTCTGACCAGTTGTCTTGTCCACGGACTTGGTACGTTTCTTGACCCTGGTAGCCCCCGTGTTGATCCGATCTTCAATCTCTTGAACGTAGTTTGTCAAGCCTCGTTTGCAGCGGCACAAAGATCAATATGATATGATGTTGTTTGTTGATTGCTTTAGATTCAAACAGCCTAATAGTAGCTTGACAATAGTTGTTGTTTCATAGTGTCTTGTGGCGAGTTGCTTGATGTCCAATTCTCTTGAAAGTCTGTCTTGGTATCGTCCTTCAAGGCCGCCACCTCGAGCTTTTGTTCATAGCGTGAGAACAGTTAGTCTGATTGTGAAATCCTTATGCAAAAAAAACAAAAACAATTCAGTACGTCGCAAGAAATAAGCTCTCCACCACCTGAACCCGCGTCATATTTGGAAATGCTCTTCGTGCACAGTTGTGGCAATCATTGCAAAGGTCGCCTACGCAAACGGTCAATTCTCGTAGTATCATATAATTGATAACCCAATCAGACTCAGACAGTAAAGCAGTAAGCATTGGTCCTGATGGTTGTTCCTCTGTCAGCCCCATTTCTTTCATCCGTTTTGTTAAGCGGTAGTAGGGCAAAGCCCACCTGACGACAATCAATAATGAATAATGTTGCAATCTCAAAAAAAACTACGTTCAATCTCAGCAGCAGCTTGCAAGTAGTCATGCACTGAGGGGCCCACTCTATCAGATCGGTGGGCACGAAGCGACAGTTGTCCCAAGAGCTACGGCCGCAACCACAACATGTCAGTTTGAGCAGGGGTCTTGATCGAACACGCTTGCGGCCTAGCAAAGCCCGCACGCCCGCTGGAGTAAGGGTGAAGATTCCAAGCTTTGGTCCTTCTGGTCCACCCTCCCTCCCGAGACACGACTCCAAGGGATCATCAAATTCTGCCATTGTAAAGGTCCTGATTGCAGACGGCACACACCCAGCAGTTATGTTGGATATTAAAAGAATATTATCTCTCAAAAGAAACACATAATATAGTAAATAATACCATAATAATGTATATATATGTTTTTAAATATTGTTTTATAGTAATAATATATAAAAACTTTTGGTAACTAATCAACTAAAAAGCTTTGTGTTTCAAAGTTTGTTTAAAATTATGTTTTTATAAGAATCTCAACACCTCCCAACGCTATCCAACACTACAGGAAGCACAACAAAAACAATTTTTCTTAAAGCCTTAACCTTTCCCAACGCTATCCAACGCTATCCAACACTATAAAAAAACATTAAAAAGCAACTTTTCTGATAGCCTCAACCTTTCCCAACGCTATCCAACGCTATCCAACACTACAGAAAGTTTAAAAAAATACAACTTTTTGATAGCCTCAACCTTCCCCAACGCTATCCAACGCTATCCAACACTATAGAAAGCATAAAAAAATACTTTTTTTTGATAGCCTCAACCCTCCCCAACGCTATCCAACACTACAGAAAGCATAAAAAATATAACTTTTTTGATAGCCTCAACCTTCCCCAACGCTATCCAACGCTATCCAACACTACAAAAACATTAAAAAACAACTTTTTTGATAGCCTCAACCTTTCCCAACGCTATCCAACGCTATCCAACACTACAAAAAACATAGAAAAAGTAACTTTTTTTGATAGCCTCAACCTTCCCCAACGCTATCCAACGCTATCCAACACTACAAACAACATTAAAAAAAACATATTTTTTGATAGCCTCAACCTTCCCCAACGCTATCCAACGCTATCCAA